GTCGTAAATCAGGCTGGATTGTACGACTCGACAACATTGCCTATTGTCGTGCTGAAATAAGTAAACGATGAAAATCGACTGAAACTATGCAGCCCTGCCAAGTTTTTCGGTTTTAATGCGCTAGTCGAGTGGAAATTTTAGGCAATGACTTGAAGTTTTCGATACGATTCGACTCTCGAAAAACGACTCGCATTCGACATGACTCTCGCAATGAGACTGAATATTTAATATCACATGAAAAATTCGAACATGGCACAAACATTGGAGCTCGTACTAAAATGTTTGGATTTTAACTGGCACCGAAAATAGAAATGTTGAAGAAAATTTTTTTGCTTTAGTTTCTTCACAGACGGGTTACTTTATTCAACGCAACGCTGGGCAGCTCGGCGTATCTATCTACGATTGTGACAGGCTGCTAGCTTTACCTTCCCCTGTGACCAGCCAGTGTCTGTTCTTGATAGCGGTGCACCTGGGTTGTGTTGCCTCTGGAGGTCTGGAGATTTTTTCGTCTTCATAGCTTTCGTTTATGCGGTAGGTGTTATTCATCTTCTGCTAATTCATCTTTCATTTTGCCCCTTTCCGATACTGTTACGGCGCTTCCTACCTCGATTATTGGCATTTAGCAAACAGATGTTTCGTTCGTGCACTGGTCCCTGTAAGTCCTCGCTAGGCCAGTCGCCCTCGTCGTTGGTGCGGGGCTTAGTTGAATCTCCAACCAGTCCATACCTGAATTTGGGGTAACGCAGCCGCTCTCGCAGATTCTGCGCTACTCTCTTTCTAGGCTACGACTGAGCAAGAACTGCCCCCTCCTAATCCAGGGTGTTATGCGACACCGTGCCTATTGGACAGTTTGCAACAAGAACGGCGCTTTTCTGACAACGGCCGATACTAACGCTGCGTCCAGCGTAGACACGAGAAATGCGGTGCGTTAAATGCGGGCAGATTACAAACCGAAACATATGTTGGCAAATGTAGATGTCCAACGTAGGCACGATTTTACGATAATGCGGGACGCATCGCACGAGAAATTGAGCAGTGAAGATGGAAATTATGATTTCTTCTATCGGATTTTCCATATTTTTAAATTTAATAAACTGTGTCCTAATAAAAAGAGTTTACCTGCCGGAAATGAAGCCATTTCACACCGAATAATAAGTTTATTGTTGCTACCCGCATTATCGCATAACCGCGTTGTAATTGGACATTTCTAGCATTCCACGCACGATTTTGCCGGCAGTAAGTTACTCGCACGCACCGAAAAATCATATAGTTCTGGCAGTAGACAACGCGAGGAGCTGACTAGACACCACAGGTCGCCGAGCAGCAACGACTCGGAGACTTTCAGAAGAGGCAGCCCCGCAAGGCCAGACCTCCTCAAGCCAGAGTCCTGGCGAGTGTCAGGATGGAGATGGAGAAAGAGGAACGGTAGCGCAAAGGTATAGGAGATGAACTCGCGCCAACCGCCGTAAAGCTGAAAAGCGGGCAGCAGCAGCAACAGCAACAGCACATACCCGCGCCCGCCAATAGCAGTCAAATTACTTCACCTGCGCAACCGACCAACAACCATGGATCAGGAATCTGGATAGACCGACCGGGCAAGGACAGTAGAGGAGGGTACCACTTGGCCGCCTAGTTGTTCGAAAGCCCTCAAGGGCATCCGAGTAGCTATTGCGAGAAGCCTGGTGCATGTGTAGTGCTTAAGAAGAATATTGACCATTTTTGCATTATAGAGTTTCAAACACAGGACCTGGTCGTGGTGCAGACGACGCTGTCGACAAGCGACGGAATTATGGTGGTCGTTTTCGCTGCGGCCTACTATCTACAGGAAAACCCAGTGAAGTCTCTTCTCAGCCCTCTCTGTCCGCCCAACAGGATTATCCAATTTTTTACTGGGAGCTGAGGTCAAGTCAAGGCCTGCTAACAGGATCCCCAGGAAAATCGACAAGGACAATTACAATGATAATCTGAGATTCAACCTGACTGCGATTCAGTCGAGTAGTACGCGCGTCGACTATATGAAGTTAAAGAACACCGTTAATCTACTGAAGAGCTTCATAGTGGATGCCTTTCACTAAAGCTGCCCTGAAACGAAGCCAAAAGGGAAGGTGCAGGAAGGAGGTACGCAAACTCTTGAATCTCCACCCACATATCGGCAATTGGCAAGAAACCCTGGCTATACAAAAATTGCTAGCTGGGAGTGAAGATCTAGCGGAGTACTCCCCAGCAGATTTAAGTTTATTTAAATTTCTTCGATCGATAATTTAAAATCATGCTTTCTTATACTGTGATTCCGAGGTTATTACAATTATTCTTCTGTGGCTCTCAACCAGGCGGGCAGAGGAGACACCCTCCCCATTAAGGGACGTTTGCCATGGTCGCCGTCAAAAGGGCCAGTCTCATCCGATGCTTTGTTTATGTTTTTCATTGGAAGTGGATTTTACGTGGCGGGTCACAAACCCAGCGCACAACCCATTGCTGGGAGGGGATGGTTTCTTGACCGAACACACGTTTATATAGCGGCCCGTTTGCTCCAAGATAGACGCCCGCTTACAGCCCCACCTACTAGTGAACCGACGCTGCAGACTTCATTGAGCCCTTAAACGGAACATGTCAAAGTGGGCCTCGCCGAAGCTCCCTCTCTTTCTGCTGATAATTATTGATAATAGACGAAGGGTTTGAAGTTCTCGTTAAGATGAAGGTAGCTGCTAAAAAAAAGTAGATAAAATATAAAATATCATAAATTAGTTGTGATAAGCTTCTGTATGTCCAGCGTCAAAAAATGAAATGGCAATGGTTTAAATTCATTTCTGCCAAAAAGTACACAACACGAAAAAGTAATAGATGCAATATTTAATCAGCCGAATCTGGCAGTATGTAACTAGTGTTACATGTGGTTAGGTACGCCTGCCATTCTTTTGGAGATTTTTGGCGATCAAAATTACAGATAAAAAAAAAATATTCTTTAACCGCATTTTATACTTGAAATTCACCCGTATCTGGCGGGAGTGCTCCTCCAAAATATCAAGGCATTGTTTTATGATTTTAACCAACGTTGACTGAGCCAGAAATCTTTGAGTACGTACAAGAAAATATTTTCAGCCAAAAATGATTTACTGAACCTGAGTTTAGTCTCGTAATGTAAAATAAATCGGTTAAAGTGCCTCAAAAAATTGTAACCTATTTAAACGTAACCCTTACTATTTTAAATTAGTTTGTTTTTGTATCAACAAAATCTGTTACTTATTTATTGCACAAATATCGTTTTTTGGAATTTTAACATCGTTGTTTTACTTCTTTACTTTATTCATTTTTATACTTTCTTACTGTCTCTAAGACCACAAGGTGAAGGTAAAATATTTCTATATTTTTAACTGCTTTAAATAATACGTCTCCAAAAATACAATATCGTTAGATTAGATTAAAAAGATCGTGATGGTGTTGGATAAGACTATGTCAGCTACGTCCTGCAAATCAGAACGCATGTTCAGCAAGGCTGGGCAGCTCATTTCTGACCGCAGATGCTCCTTAAAATCAAATTAAGTTAATAACATGTTGTTCCTTAAAAAAAAACATTACCTTGCAACTGATAGATCGCTCTAGCAATAAAATTGTCGTTTTGTAAACTTTGTAGTTTTACTTTGAAAATTTATAATAAAAAAATCGGAAACATCGATTTTGGCAGACACCGATGTTAACAATAATTATGTTTCCGAACATCGATGTTTTCCCAGCTCTAATACCAGGTGATGAAAATTAGGTTCTTTAAAACAATGTGCAACGCTGACGGTCTGGATCAAAAGCAAAATTTCATTACATAAATGTTGTGCTCTCAGCTTGGTGGGGTTGAAAAGGTATGGTGCTTTTTAAGCTCTACCCAAGGAAGCAAAAAATAAATTTAAATGAGAAACGTCCGAGGCTTGTTCCACGACGACAACGCGAGAACACACACATCTTGGCGAGCCGACAGTAAACAAAGCGGAGAACATTTCATTGTATTGGGATTTGAAAAATATTAAATAAATGAATTTGTGCCAGCACAAGACCCCTTTGTTTTCAACAGAAGTATGTATATGTCCGTTCCGTTGTTTTGTAAGGAAAAAGTGAGGCAGCAGGCTGTAAAACATCAGGTGTCAAAACTTCTGGGACACCACTATTCACACACACGAAATAATAGCAATTTATTTCTTGACCGTTATCTTAAAAGGACCGTACTTAGCTTTATACATTGAAATAAGCAAAATAAGCATGATCGTTTTCAGCAAGGATATAAAGTATTAAAAAATTTAATTAAAAGATAATATTTTTTAGCTTTAAGTTTTATTTAATGAACCCATATTAGTTTGCATTAATATATGCTCTCCAGTCGTAAACATGAAAGTGTTTGAATTAACGATATACAAAAAAGAAGAGTTCCTTTTTCCACCTAAGTGCAAAAAAAGATGCACGATTTACACATTAGTATGGGCCGAAAATCCGCCTTTTTAGAATTTTCATTGGTAATAGCAAAAATATTTATGGTTCAATATGCTCTAAAAACAATCTGTGTGAAATATGACAATTTTTGGTTGGTCAACATCTCAAGCGCGCCCAATTTTTTACTAAAATTGCAAGTATCTTCGAAAGTATTAATCCTACATAATTTGGTATATCGACCCTTTTATGTAGAGAATCGAAGAAAGCTAAGAAAATTTTTTTGAACTCTGATGGACTTGGGCGAGCCTAAGATATTGACCAAAAATTCTCAACTTTCACACAGATTGTTTTAAGGGCATTATGAAACATATTTTTTCTATTACCAATCAAAATTCTAAAAAAGGATTTTCGGCCCACGCCAATATACATTACATGCATATGTTCTAGATAGAGATTATTCTTGAGCAGTCCAAATAGTTTACCAGGCCGCTTGTAGATCTTATAAATTAATTGCAAAAGGTATCTAAAACCGTTGACCACTATTTTCTAAAACATATACAAATATTTGCAGATTGACTCTTACATACCTTGAGCAATGTTAATATCTTCTGTGACAAGTCATAGTCAAAATTCGAGTACTTGGACCCACTCATATCGTATATAAAGATGAGACCGGCCTTTTGAGTTTCCGGGTCTTGCAGAGCGCAATCGAGTTGGTATACAATGCCCTGCAACGTTATGGTATGTGTAACACTTAGTGGGCTGTGCTTGTTGGCGGTGAAAAGAGCGATAGCAGCACCTGTGGTATCACGTGAAGGCTGTAACGACAGACAATTCCAGCTGGTTATTCAAAAAAAAAAAACAAAAAACATAGTCATTTGCAAGATTATCACTTACCAATATTGTGAACTTTCCAGTCTGTAGCTCCGAGTAGAGAGGCTCTACGTCGATATTCATGTTATAAAGGCCTTCTCTTAGCCGAATCTGCTCGTGTTGTTCGTAAAGTGAAACAGCTCTGAGTATATCAAATTTACGGGCATATAAAAATTTTACTGCGGTAGTTTGGGAAATATTACGTTTACAGCTCGAAGTGGACCCATTGCAGAGATCAATGAATTGTTTCACAGCCTGCAAGAAAACGTAAATTATTTGAAAATAAGTTCATTACATTTCGTCAGAGATCATCACTTTTAGATAATTAACTAAAAGCAAAGACCTTAAAAACGACTCGCGACTAATTTATTATAACAGCAAAAATGCCTTTTTTAAACTATTAATCTACCTAATTTAACTTTTATATGGCTTTATCCACTTTGAATTCGGAAATTCGAAGAGTTAAGCAAGCGCCGGTAGCTTAATAACCGCACCTGACAACCACAATGTATGGCTAAACATATAAAAAAAATCGACGTGCATGAATCAGGCTTGCCAAATTTTTTTATTGTGGTAAAAACGAAAAATCATAAACAGCATTATTCGATCCAAACTATAAGCCACTAACAAAGCTGTTTTTTTTTTTATTATTGTAAGCCGTTTTGTTTTCTTTTGCGAACGATATCTCTTTGATATATTTTACCTACTCCATATAAAAGTATTTGCCCCCGCTCAGGTTATTCGATAATCAACATAAAAAAAGTTCAAACAAAGAATCAATGAACAAGTAATTTTTAGCAAAAAAAAACCGACTTAAAAAAAAAATATATATATCTATATATTTCATGATCCAATGATCGGATCTAAACCAAATTAGTATGGAACCACCTCTGAGACACTACCTTTCCGTTGCAAAAATTATAATTATTGAAATTGGTTGACGTGGCCCAAAGTTATGCGGTAACATACATAACAAAAAAAAAAAAAAAAAAAAAAAAAA